ATCATTAGGTGAAATGATGAATAATTAAATATACATATTTCCTCTCGTTATGCAACAATGACATTTACATGCGAATAAAAGAAATGGCCTGAGGCTTACAATAAAAGAGAGAACACTACTCTTTATAAAAAAAAAATAGCACTCAGCCAAACAACAAATGAAGTAATACAATCCATCACTGCATTACACTTATGAAATGGAAAAACCCATTGTTTGATCTTCAAATCCGGAAAGCATTCCCTGTACACATGTACAAGCAGGGGGTAAGCAACCACTAGCTCACCAAGCAATCTCATATTAAAACATTAGAATATATGCGAGTACCAAAATACTCGTACATATACGTGAAATCATATCATGTCAAAACCATATGATTTTATTACATAATCTCTTAAATCCAATTTATTTAATTAACCACAACAAGTTAACTTAAATAAATAAACATGTTCCAATAGCAACAGGACATCATTTTCAATTCATTCAATTATCTCATTATCAATTGAATCAAATAATTAAACAATTCATCAAATCCTTTTTATACAGTCTTATAAGATGAATGCATATGCCATATCATGCTGAAAATATTTTTCTTATATTTTGAAAATCTTACGTACAATGCCAATTTGAAAACACATAAATCCAATAATTTCAATAAAATTCCAATATGGTAAATATGACTCAGGTAATCCCTAGGCTGGTGTTTGCAAGTAGACTATACAAGTACTAACAATTTGTCATTTTTACCAGTATTAACTGGAAGGCTCGACACCTGTAATCTGTCATTTTACCAGTATTAACTAGAAGGCTAAACACCTATCCGCCCGGTTTCTGGTCTTTCTCCATAGACACTCAGGCCAACTTAACCAATGTCAAACTACACCGCCTAGCCGGGCTTACCAACGTATTTACCCAAAACAATTCAAAATGATCTCGTTTCACCAAAAACAATTCCTTTCTTAAAACAATAGTTTTCAATTGCAATTCGAAATCCATGATAACAATGAAATGGAAAGGCAATGCAATATGTAACAATGCATTAGAATAGTTCCAATTTCAATTCCACCACACAATACTCCATTGTGATCAAATTCCATACCTCTATCAATGTAATATCATAATACAATTCCAAGAGATAATCCAACAATATCCACATTCATATAATCTCCACAAGTTAATCAACATCCCCAATTTAGTCATTTCAAGACAATTCTATAGCAAACTATATATCAAACTTCCCATTGTTTGGCCTCACACAAAACTTTCAATCAATTTTCGTTTCACCTAAACCAAGATAACCAAAATGATTATCACCAAATCTCATACTTATTGAATATTACCATTTACATCCTACTATATTAAAAGTTATGGTATAATCTCAATAACACACTTTTAATCATAAATGATACAAAATATTAATCAAACTAATTTAATCCATCAAATTAGTAAGTTCATTATATTCACAATTTTTCAAAATAAATTACATCAAACCTAACTTAACATGTCTCATCATTTAAACATAATCACATTTCATGCCAAGCTATTTAAATAGTTCATTTTTCTCTCAAATCTCTACAAATAACAATTTTCACAACTTTTCTAAAATTAACTAATTAACATGATATTTACATCATACTTATCCAAAAAAATTATATTTATATCAAAAATTACGAAATATGCCCAAAAGTAACATTTTCAAGGTTATGAGTTCAAAAGTCCATATTTCACATTTTTCATTTTCACAAAAAAAAATAAACACAACTTAATCATCAACATATCATAAAGTTTCATGAATATAATACTTTTAAAGTTTTTAATCCCAAAACAACTCTATAATCCCAACTTAACAATCTACATAATATTCCTCAACATCAATTTATTTTTCCCAAAAATAAATTCCAAATCAAAGATAAAAAAAAATATTTCAACTTTATATTTCTCAAAATAAATCATTTAATCATAATATGATGTAAATACAATCATACAACCTTTAAATTTTATTTTCAGATTTTGTTTACAAAATTAACAACACAAAATGATTTTTCCAAAATCAATCTCAAAGTACCAACATTCTTAACATTTCATCATAAATTTTCTTCCAAAAATTACCAAACAAAAATCTAAAAATTATATATATATATATATATACACATATATACAATACCTCTTAAAATGACATATTCTCTCAAAATAACCCTAATATAACTTTAATGTAAAAATATGAAGAAAGTCCCTACCTCAAATATTAAAGAAGAGCAGATCTGGAAGGCAAATATTGCCTGATCGTGAATTTGAGACTACCATTGCGAAGATCACGACGAACTCTCCAGCTTTCATTTACAACACTTTTGCAAAATCTCACTCTAAAGACTCTCATTTCAAGCTTGAAGCTTGAGCAAAAATGGTGAACATAGAGAGAGAGAGAGAGAGAGAGAGAGAGAGACATTGAGCTCTGCCAAGCCTCAAGAAAAGAAAGGAAAAAAAAGAATGGAGGAGTGGGGAACAACCCTATGTGGGTTCACTTCTCCAAAATGGGTTTTTCAAAAAATACAATATAATTTTTGTAATAATAGCTCAAAATTTTATAATATAAATTATAAAATGATATAATTTTTCTCACCACAAAATATAATATTTTTGTGCACCACAAAATATAATATTTTGCTCACTACGAAATATACATATTTTCATTCTTTATAAAATATATAATTTTCCACCATATGGTACACACCATAAAATCAACTATCAAATATTTATTATAACTCCTATATAATAAATAATAACAACTCCCAAGGTGATTACTACCAATCATATAATTAAAAAGGACCATACAGTCAAACACGAGTCACTAAACAAACTCAAATTAAATTAAATCTAACTCATGGGTCCCACCCATAAGCCAAACATGGTCCAATTATATACCAAAATAAACCCAACAAATTTATCCAAATCATGATCTAAACATTCAAAATTAAATAACAAAATTTTGCTATAAATTAAACTGAACACCAATCAGTCCATGAATTTTCATAAAATAAATACTCATCAATAAATTCTGAAATTTTTACCCAACGTGCTAGACTCGTATGTAAACAACATATAAAAAATTCATAATTTTATGAGATCGGGAACTATTTTAAAAAAATACAAAACCAAACTGTTTTCGCACAGAATTTACACAGCAATCAAATCTGAAAATTTTCTCAATTAAATTATGCACTGACTATTTAAAAAAAAAAATTTATGGGTCATCACAGTCAGAGTGGATTCTATGAAGATAAAAAAACTTTAGTATCGGGGTATAAAAGGTGCCAATCATGGTTGCAAAGGGCAGGATCATGATGTTCTCTGATGATACCACCAAATTGTCTTTGGTTAGTCCAAGTGAGACGGGGTCCAGAGAACTCCAAGTCCATCAGGCCACAGTGATCTATGCAACTTTTGAATCTCTGGGAATGACAAGGATTAATAGCACGCCCACCAAATTTATCCGCATTTGAAAGAATTTCATTGAAATCGCCTGCTATAAGCCAAGGAGAGTTATGGTTATCAGCAAAGAGCTTAAGGTTATCACACAGATCTCTTCTTAGATGATAATGAGGACTTGCATATATAGCAATGAACCTGAACAAAGGCATGGATTTCATACTGAGTCACTGAGAGGATATCGCAACAGACTTCAAGATCATTCCAAAGTAGCCAAATGCCACCAACAAAACCAACAGATTCAGAGATTTTAAATTTAGAGAAGCCAAGGCTTGCACAAATATCTTTACTTCTATCTCCACCAACTCTGGTTTCAGTGATAACAACCAAGTAAGGTTGATGTTCATTCATCAGATTGTGAAAATGTCTTTTGAAATAGGGGTTTGCTGGCCCACGGCAATTCCATAAAAGAACTTTTATTGGGGACTTAAATAGGGGAGGGTTGGGGATTCTCCCAAGTTCAGGTCTACTTGCGAGGATACCCATCCTGGGTCCAAGCTGGTCTTCTTCTTCCTATTCCTGTATGGAGTTAGGCAAACTGAGTGTTCTAGAGCCCAATTGACGGGCGTCGTGTTTATTTTTTGGTGATAACGCAAAGGCAGAGAAGTTCTAGCTCTACTAGGATTGACTCCATCTTGGGGAACTGGCCTAGTAGAATGAACACCCTTGGTATGGTGAAGAGGCGGTGAAAATTCAGTGGGGGGGTTCGGGGATTGGAAAGAGAGTCTCTACGGCCAGATTGTTTTGGTAACTTTGGAGGTTTGGGAGAAATTGGATGTTTTGGGTCACAATCTGGTTCAATTGGATACCTGGGGAGGGAAATCTAAGAGGTAGGTGAATGGTGTTGACAGATAAGTTACCACCACAGTCTGGTGGGAAAGAAATTGTGTTGGAACAAGTAAGAAGGAGGAGAGGGTCATCCAGGTATTCATCACTTCCAAATCGAACCACCCCAAAATATGGATGGGATCTCTTTGAATCTTTTGGATTAGATGATTGTCCACCCTTTGGTAGTGTCCCCTTACCATCATGTACCAGCCCTATTGGTTTTGGAACTCAATGTTGGGAATGTGAAAGGGAATATATAGATATGGGGTTGAGTTTTGGTGAGAGAAATGTGGCTAGGATAGATTCCTTCGATCTGGAGCATGGTTACGGTGGCGAGGCATGGTTTTGGGTTGTGTTGTTTGGGGTGGGGATGAAGACAGGGCAAGAAGGTTCAAAGATAAGGGAGGATCCATCTCAGAAGTCACTGGGTTTGCAGAACTCAATGAATCGGAGGAGATAGCTTGAGCAGAGGTTTGGGACAGAGAGGTAGCAGAGAAAATGGGTGTAGGCAGAGAGGGTAGGGGAGGAGCAAAAGGTGGGTGTGTTTGGAAGGGATTGGAGAGGGGAGATAAGTGCGTAGGTAGTGGGACAGCTGGGGTCAGCAAAAAAGGAGTTTTGGTCAAAAGTAATAGAGACAGGAAGGGTTTGAAAGGGATTAGAGATAGGTGTGTTTTTTGAGGGGCCCAAGATTAACAAAGGTTTGGATACTTTCTGTTGCCAGCTGTTTGACTTTCATTTCCATGCAGGAAGACTGGATTTTTTGCTTTGTTCTGAGCCACCTTATTATCAACAACCTTCCTAATAGTAGGGTTTTTCTTCACAGGTTTCTTCCTCTCAACAAGCATACAAGGACTGAAGAGTTGTTCATCTTCTTTTCCATGGTGGGTGTTGACGGTGTTAGTGACTGGTGTGGATATAGAGCTTGAAACTTTGCAATCACCTTTTTCATGGCCCAAGCGACCACAGTCAAAACAAACGGATGTATTGCCTTCATAAGACACTTTTTGGATAAAAGAACCTACTTTAATCTTGGATATAAGGGGTTTGGAGAGGCCCACTTGGATACAGAGTCTTGCAAATCTTCTTCTATCACCATTCTCAGTATGAACATCTATTTTAAGAAGTGTACCAAGCCGATTACCCAATCTTTTCAAAATGCTTCTATCATAATGCTCAATAGGTAAGCCATGAAGGTGAGCCCAGAGGACTGTGGTGGACATAGTAGCTTTGTCTGTGTGAAATTCAGGCTCCCATTTTTGAATTGCAAGAAAATTAACACCAATAAACCATGGTCCATCATTAAGAACTTTGTGGAGATCAAAATCTAAATGGAATTTGATGAGATAGTAATGATTGCCTAGGTCAATCCCATGGATAACACCAGTAGGTTGCCAAAGTGAGGTGATTCTACTCATAAGAAGGTTATAACTCACATTTCAACCCATAAGTTTAATGATAAGTGATTGATTCTAAGGGTCGCGAATGCGAGTTAGCTCTTCCCGAGACAAGGTGATGCATGGGAGCTCACAGTCATCAAAGGTTATAGAAGGTTCATCTTCATTTTCAATGAGAGAGGTAGAAGCGACAGTCCCAGGAGAAGAGGGAAGAGTGTTACCGTCTGAAGAGAATAGGGAGGCGAGGGCCTCCTTGAAAGAGCTAAATCAGTGGATGTTACCTGGTGGGTGTCCATTTTTCCTAAGACGTCACTCGAGTAGATCGGTTTCTTCCTCTGCGTGGCTGTTGGCATCATCCTCTGGTTGTGTTGTGGATTTGCCGGCTGCCGTGGAATGGTCTTGTGTTGTTGGTCGTTCTTCCATTCCTCTTGCAGTATCACCAACCTGTGCTTTCATATTTTCTCTCAACCTATTTATTGTTTCTTATAATTATTTTATATATGAAATTATACTTCCTTTCATATATTATTTTATATAATCACAACCTATATGAGGAAAAACCTGCACAACAATGTTATTCTTGAGGAACATCTAAAGTTTGGATTTACTGCTTGAGTTATTTTTTTAATTGTTGAATAATAAGTTTTTTTTTTTTTATGTTTTGACATCATATTACAGATGATTAATCACTTTACACGTTGAGATATATCTATCGTTTGGTTATTTTAATTATTATTATTATTATTATTATTATTTGGTTTAGATGTTATTACATGATTCTTTCTTGGTTATTCGTTGTTAAATTTCTTTTATATAGTTGATATTTTAATTTAATTAAGAGTATTTATTTTACAATCTTATAATTTAATATATATATCATATAAAATCATTATAGGATAATCCAACCTCAACATATTTATATTCGATTTTTTTAATAAATTTTATATTATTTATATTTATACATATTTTTTATTTTCCAAATGAATATAAAAAAAAATTCAATAGTTAGAATTACTTTTAATGAGCACTTTTTTATAAATTCCTTTTCACCTACTTATATTTCATTTAGTGTAACGCCCTCAAAATAACAACAATAAACCCATCAAATAAGACATACATTTACATATAAACTAACCACATTCTCTCATTCATTAGAATTCCATTACATAGGTATTACATGTTAACATCAAAACAAAATGCCTTACAGGCTTACAGCTTTCCAAGTTAACACTTGGTTACAAACAAAGAGTACTAACTCGTTTACACAAAAAGCCCTTGGCTTGAAGTTACATGTAATACATCAAAAGTAAAACTCCTTTTCACCTACTTATATTTCATTTAGTCCACATTATTTTCTTATGTTCTAACAAGTTCTATGGGTGACATAGTTACCAAAATACCCTTCATAATATTCACATTTACATTGTGAATGTTTCGTGATGTGAATGTTCACACCATCAATGTGAATATTTACATTGTAAAATATGAATGTTCACATCATCAAATTGCTAACAATTCAAAAACTATTTGTAAGGATAGAAATGTCCATAAAATATTTTAAATATGAGAATTAAAATTTGGTAGATTAAATGTCCAAATAATAGGACTTATTAGAATACAAGAATATTTTATGGACTAATTGAAATACAAACACTTGAAAAAGGATTTTCGAATAAATTGCCCTACTTTTAATTTTATATAACTAATTCTTCTTCTAATTTAAGTATTATTTTTAATATCAAACGAGTATTTATTTTACTATTTTATAATTATAATTTAATACATATCATACAAAATTATTATATGGTAATTATATTTTTATAATACAATAGAACTAAAATGATCAAAATACACAAATAATTTAACTAAAATTAATATATTTAAATATTTAAATAATAATTTTATAGAATGATAGTGCTAATATTATCAAAATAAATAATTAAAATAAAACTTTAATTTTAATTTCAATTTTAATTAAAATTATTCTTTTATAACACACATTATACCATCAAATATATATATATATATATATTATAAAAAATAACACGTGCACGAGTCAACTGTTAGTATACTATAAATAAACAGGACATCATGGTATTGTATATTTCTTATTGTCGGATATGGCATCAAAAATAATCACTCTCTTTTTATCCATTCTATATCTTATTTTAGGGATACTTTTTCATAAATCCCTTTTGACCTACTTATGTTCTATTTAGTCCACATTATTTTCTTATATTCTAATAAGTCATATGCGTGACATAGTTACCAAAATATCCTAATAATATTTATATTTACAGTGCAAATGTTCCGTAATGTGAATATTCACATCGTCAATGTTAATGTTCACACCATCAATATGAATGCTAACATGTCAATGTGAATGTTCACATTTACACTATCAATGTAAACATTCATACGTCAATCTGAATATTTACATCGTAAAATATAAATGTTTACATTACCAAATTGTAACCGTTCAAAAAATATTTATAAGGGTAAAAATGTTCATAAAATATCTTAAATATGAAAATTATGATTTGGTAGATCAAATGTTCAAATAATAGGATTTATTGGAATACAATAATATTTTATGGACTAAATGAGATACAAATACTTAAAAAATGATTTTCTAATAAATTTTCCCTTATCTTAACCAAACATAATATGTATAATTCATCTCATAACTTTTAACATATTATACCTTATATTATATATGCTTAAGGGTAAATTACAAATACATCTTCTGAGGTTTGATTAAAATACGAATCGCCTTTTACAGTTTTGAAAATTACATTCCACCCCCTGAGATTTATAATTTCATAACAAATCACCTATTTTATTAATAAATCATCAAATCAATTAATAGTTTTTAATAATGTTAAAAATATGTTTCATTAATATGTTCCAACAAGACTCACAGAAACCTAAGGATCCAATCAGCATCCTAAAAACTAAATCTCAGACCCAAATAATCACATAAACATATTGTCAAATAAACACGTCATGTTGTCAAATAAACACGTAATGTCATACATAAGTCTCTAACAAGCGAGACAAACCCATTGTGGTACTAACCACTTCCTGTGTACCCAAAGTATTCAAACCCGGTACGCTCTGATACCAAGTTGTAACGCCCTCAAAATAAACCCATAAATCATACATTCAAGGCATCCATATACTTAAGAGAATAAAGCATAATTCTATTTATCAGACTATTCATTACAAAAGTATTACATGTTGATATCAAAAGTAAATGTCCTACGGGTTTACAACTTTCCAAGTCAACACTTGGTTACAAAAAGAGAGTACTAACTTAAAGCACAAAATAAGCCCTTGGCTTGATTTACATGTAATACACAAAAATAAACAAGAGCTTTCAACTCCCACAACCATCTAAGCTAAGACCTTGGAGGCGGCATAATACTTGAACCTGAAAATTATGTCCCATATAGGGTAAGCCAACGCCCAGTAGAGATATTGTAACAAGCCCGCGGGGGACCTCGCTACAGCTCGGACTCGACTTTTGCAGTCACGGTTCTAAATCTGAACCAAAGAGTCCAAATCCGGCAAATCGTTTTAGGAAAACTGATTTTTGAAAGAAGTGCCAAACATGGACTGCTTTGCCAGATACAGAGTCGCCACCTAAATATTTTATTTTGGGAAATTTAGGAAACCCTGACTCGGTGCCAAAAGGCCACGCGTCCGTCATCACCAAAGTTGCCTCGGCTCGGGAACTTGGATACGATTGGGGAAGGTCACTTCGTGAGCACCCCCGCTCGCCCGGTCATAGACCGGCCTCTACTAACCACGATATCAATTTTTGAAAACATTGTGAGTTCTTATTCCGGTTATTAGCCTAGGTTACTATGTGATGCGCACAGCATACAAGTATAGAGTTTGAACAGCACTGTACCGGAGATCACGATAAATGCTGATGGATAAAGATGACTGAGATGATCAAAATGGACAGAGTTGATCGGGGAAAAGTTTATGGCTGAACTTCGATGTGAAGCTGCCCACGTATCCCAAAGATGGGAATCAAGCCTCACGTAGTTCAGGGTTATTACTCATTTTATAATTATTAATTTAATACATATCATACAAAATTATTATATGGTAATTATATTTTTTATAATACAATAGAACTAAAATGATCAAATACACAAATAATTTAACTAAAATTAATATATTTAAATATTTAAATAAATATTTTATAGAATGATAGTGCTAATATTATCAAAATAAATAATTAAAATAAAACTTTAATTTTAATTAAAATTATTCTTTTATACACACATTATACCATCAAATATATATATATATATATATATTTTTATAAAAATAACACGTGCACGAGTCAACTGTTGTATACTATAAATAACAGGACATCATGGTATTGTATATTTCTTATTGTCGGATATGGCATCAAAAATAATCACTCTCTTTTTATCCATTCTATATCTTATTTTAGGGATCTTTTTCATTAAATCCCTTTTGACCTACTTATGTTCTATTTAGTCCACATTATTTTCTTATATTCTAAATAAGTCATATGCGTGACATAGTTACAAAATATCCTAATAATATTTTTATTTACAGTGCAAATGTTCCGTAATGTGAATATTCACATCGTCATATGTAAAGTTCACACCCATCAATATGAATGCTAACATGACATGTGAATGTTACATTTACACTATCAATGTAAACATTCATACGTCAATCTGAATATTTACATCGTAAAATATAAATGTTTACATTACCAAATTGTAACCGTTCAAAAAATATTTATAAGGGTAAAAATGTTCATAAAATATCTTAAATATGAAAATTATGATTTGGTAGATCAAATGTTCAAATAATAGGATTATTGGAATACAATAATATTTTATGGACTAAATGAGATACAAATACTTAAAAAATGATTTTCTAATAAATTTTCCCTTATCTTAACCAAACATAAATATGTATAATTCATCTCATAACTTTTAACATATTATACCTTATATTATATATGC